TTAAAACATAATTATATTTACTTTTGCCTAGAAAAGTCACACCGCTAGGGGAAAATATTCTGAAAGATAAGAAATGCCCTTTTATAATATTTTCATATGCTCACCAAATCATTCTAATAGTTTGGCAAAATCAACAGACCTTTATTTCCCACTGGCACCGGCTATACTGAATGTTTACCAAATTCATTTCATTTTTAATGCGATTCTTTTGGCCTTGCTGTTTAAGTGCCAGAGGGTAAAGCTATGCAGTAGGTTGAATAGCATCTGACTCTGTCCAAAGAGCCAGTTAGGAGAGTTTAGTCAGGGAAAATTTTTGTCTTAGATTAGGTGTTAATATCCATCTAAAATCATAGAGTAATTTCACATTTTAAAATTTACTTTGCTATGAGGCACTTGTTTTAAAATGTTATTGGGAGTCTGTCTTTATATGTCTAACAATGAAATAACAAAAATCGAGATATCATCTGGCCTAAACCTACATTTAGGTTGAATGTGAAATAATCTAAGACAGATGGTGATCTGTGTTATTTTGGTAGAGTTTACTTCTTTGGCTTTAATTTTCACTGGCAGGTGGATTTAATTTTCACTGGCAGTAAAACAAAATTAATTTATTAATATTAGATGTATTTTAAATAGAATGAATACCACTATTATCTCCTAGCATAATTTATGTTTTATATTCATTATCATGGTTTATACATTTGGGCAAATCTCAATTTTCTAAATCTTGGTTTTGTCTTTTATAAAAAGATGGAGATTCGTTGGGGAAGCTTAAGGGTCAAAGTTGTGGATATAATAATAAACCAGATATAGGTGTAATTATGATTATTTTTGTTTATGGAAACTGAAACAATTTTGGACCAACACTCCAAAATCATGAGATTTTAGGTCAAAAATCTGCATTCCCACGTTCATCTGGAAAATTGGAAAAGCTACAATTAGATGGCAACATTCTCACACAGTAAGAATCATCTAGAGCCAATCATTGGCTGCTTCCTAGTTGGTCAGTTTCTATGACTTCCTCTTGCCTCCTCTCTGATACTGAAACTAAAAATGTCTTTTGTCATTGTGCTTGAATTTTTTTTCAAGTAGATAATATTTTTCTGTGTGTGTCTAATAACAGTAAGCTTATAAAAGTTAAACCAAGAAGGGTAAGTGTTCATGGAAAATTAAAAGACCATATTATTTAGTAGAACTTAATAATATTCTTATCTGTTTATATGCAAACATGGTGCATCTATGTAAAAAGGCTGCAATTTAAAGCACCAATTCAAAATGAACCATAGTAATGAAGATGAACTAAATCAAAAAAGGATCTATCATGAAAAACTTAATGAACTCAAAGGAAAAGACTAACATTTCAGGAGGGTTTATTTTTAAATGCAAATAAGCACAAGCACGGCTGCTCTGAAAAGCAATTATATCACAAATGAATAATGAATTGTCATACATCAATACTTTTTTAAATGGTAATTTTAGAGCTGTTCTTATTAAATGAAGAAAAATTGCATATAGAAAAGTAACACATGGTAAATACAAGGGTAACTGAAATAACTGTTACCCAGAAATTTGGAAACATGGATGAATATACCAAGTTCATATTAAGTAAAAAAATAAAGTAACTGATTTTTACTGTTTTTTTCTCTGCTGATGTCTTACATATTTATGATACATCATCAATAGAATTACGGTGTCTCAAGATACTTGTGAACATGAGGTGTATGACTAAGACAAATTCATAAAATGATTTTATTGTGTGCATGTATGTGTTGTATAATTGCCAGAATGTTTGACGTAAAATTGTCAAGATTAATGACTAAAGGCAATGTTTTGAAGATGTTCAGTTAATTTTGGACGTAATATGATTCTTAAATCCTATTTGGAAATGTTTAGCAATGACAGAATAGCTACTCTCATTCAGCTCATCATTCGCCATGAATTACTTTACTTAAGAAGTTAAGTTGGAAACCATGCTGGTGTCAATGATTAAGCCAGCCATTTGTGCACATTCCCACAGCATCAACGATCATCTTCTGAACTCTCTGGAAGAAGGATGATTTGTCACTTGATATTGAACAGATTCTTTGAAATGTAAAATGCAATAAGTTTATTTCATCTAAGATAAAAAATTAATCTTAGCTCACAAGCAAAGACGGAATCAATGATATCTTTTCATCATCTAAATGCCTTATAGAATGCTATATAGAATAAAAGTAGTAACTGGAAAGTATGACTTGCTTACCTGATTTCTTATGAAATTATGCCTTTGGGAAGCTCCTTTGTCAAGGATTTACCTGGAAAATACTTCTTGCCAGAAATCACCCTGTGGAACTTAACAGGATTGCATGAATGACGTGTCTAATATTGTGGAGTTAAGAAATAAAATGTTAAGAAAAGTCTCAGGATTAAAACTTTCTGGCAATGACCTCACACTGTTAAATCACATAATATGACTAGGTAAGTCAAGAGCCAGAATCAGAAGATACTTTATGCTGGCACAGTCCAATTCCAAAACTTAAATGTAACTTTTAATTAACTTAAATGTAAATGTAGCTTTGTGACTACTTTTTCCAGTTATAAACCGAATAAAAGTAAGCAATGCTGCTAGTTAAGAGATTGAAAATAGAATTCTGCATTCTATGAAACCACATCATAATGCAATGTATAAGACCTGGCATCTTGGTGTAGAACATGTCAGGTTTATTTTTCCAAATCAAAGATATTAACAATGTTGGAAGATATTTCTATTTTCATATTTTGAGTTTTCAATTTCAACTCTTAAATAGCTTCAATAACACACTTATTCTTGTTGTAATATATTTATATTTCAGTACTAATAGTTTATATATCTTTCTGATGGTTGACAATTTTTACAACAAATCAATTTCATTCATTTATGTTACATGCTTTATCCATTAACCCAATATTTGTCTTTATCTCTAAAGATGTCTGAGTCAATATCGCTTAGGCTAATGACAAGAGAAAAATTTGGAGAAAATCTAACTCATCCTAAACATAAGATGTCTATCCTGTATTTTGAAATCACCAGAAATGGGCTTTTATGGTGCTGTCAGAAACTTATTAATTTTGATGTTCAAGTGTGTTTATATATGTGCATTTTGAATATGTACATATATAGGTATATCATCTATATCTTAGTTTGTTGAACATCTATATCTTTAATAATTTATGCCCCATCGAAATGATATAGATATGATACTGTATGCTATGCTAAAACCATAGTCTAAGAGAAATGTATATAAAAGACAAGGGCCTTTCCAAGAAAATGTCCTAGTCAAGTAAGACATCAACTTTCCACTAAAATCGCCATTTACTAGGTCAGGATATGTATACTTACTTGGAAGAAGACACAGCCATGTGGAGAGAAAGGTTATGAAGTTCTATTTCTTATAATTATTTTAAAGAGTCTGAGATTATAATATTTCTCATATGTAGAAATGATTTAATATTCACTTAAACCTTTCTCAATGTATGGAACACATTTGAATATGACATTCATTTAATTAAACTATATATTTAGAGTTTCCTTGAATGACTTTCTCTACAACCTGACTTCAACAGATAATTGTCAACTCTGCGCATCCTTTTATAAAACTGACTCCTAAATACAATTAATTAGTAAGTTTTGAAAAACTCCCACATCTCAAAGATGTTTTATCAAAAGGCAAAGTTAATGATTTCAAATCTTAATTTATATTAAACCAAACTATTCCCATCATGTGCCGAAAGAATTACCTTGCTTTAAAAACTGGAGAAACAGAAAATATAGCCACTCGATAACCACTGCATCACTAAACTTTATAGTGTATGACCTATTGTGCCAGTTAGGGTCATGATCCCTTTATTCATTCTTAGATAATATATCCATTGCTCCTATATCTAGAAGGATCTATTTAGAGACAAGTGCTATTCAAGTACTGTTCTACAGAAATAGAAAAACACAATGTCATGGTGTTTGGAAGTGAACTGATGATGCATTGCACTAGCATATAGAGACATCGTTCCCATAAAACTTGTAACATTATAGTTCAGGGACTATTTAACCTTTAATACAAATCATTTTTATTGTCCCAATAGAACTCGAAACACTTTATTCTTTACATTTCTCTTTGGCACTGGTGTACCAACTACATTATTATTTTGTCAGGGTGCAAAGAAAAGTCATGTTAAGTCTAATCCATGTGCAAACACATCTGAAGAGCTATGTAGGAATGTACACATCTCCATCAAATATAGAACATGGAGACTCAAAATTTGTCACTGATGACAGAATATTTATGAAATAAAATGATCTTCTAGACTCTCCTTTATTTTCAGAATTACATAGTTTTCTGCTTTCTCTTTACATGCTATCAGTGATGTGCTTTCAAATAATTCTAATAATTCTGCAAGATTGAATAGGGAAAATGCCAGAATAAAACTTACTGCTGCCAATGTGTTTATTTTTCATACTGTCTATTTGTTAGTATTTACTTCTAGGTTTATCTGGCATAACTCATCAGAAAAAACAAAGTCAATTTATTTCTACATTAAAAAAATATTTTTTGGTAGGGACTTCAGTTCATTTACATTAAAATGTATCTTCTGAGGAAATTAGTTCTTCATCTTTTGCTAGTTTGTTTTGTCTTGCTATCATGTTCGTTATTCTTTTCTTTTTACAGTTTGCCAAAGACAAAATTATCAAGGGGCATAGTACAGGAAAAAGGGGAAACAAAAGAAATACAATATAACTAAATTAAGTGCTTTAAATTCCAGCGAGAAAATAAAAATGATTTGTGTTAAATAGTCCCTAACCCATAATGTTACAAGTGTTATAGGAATGATGTTTCTATACTCTTGTGCAATGCATCATCAATCTACCGCCAAATACCACTGACATTGGTGGTTTTTTTTTTTTTTTTTTATCTCTGAAGAACAACATTTGGATACCACTTACCTCGGAGACAGTTCTTTTGGAAACTATAAATATATTTCTTTCTGGGATCAAAAGAATCCACATCAAAATGAATGATGAAGTGTTGAATCTGAATTCACAGCTGCTTTATGCAATCTAGAAAGAGTACAGGATTTCTCATTTTAGTTCACTTCTCAAAGCTGTGTAGATAGAAGCCTGAAATGATATATTTGAATTTTTAAAAATATTCTTCTTGTCTGGCTATGTAAATGATTGCAATCAATCAGATTTTCTTTGTTCAAGAGAAAAACATGAAATTACAATATGAATATTTTTCACATGTAATTTTAGTTATACAGTGGGCAATGACTGACAGCTTAACAACGTCCCACGGTGGCAAGAATAATGTGTTATTTTCGGAAAAATATTTTTACTTAAGAAAAGTTAATTTACAATAAGTTGATTTTAAAAGTCTCCTTGGAAAATAGTTTTGAAGGTCACAAACATGTATTTGGAGTATATTATTTTACAATTTTATAAACTAATTTTTTAAAATGTATTAAGATCTTACCTGTTACAAAAACAAAAATCTGCAGCAAAAACAAAATGATCTATTTCGTGGCTGTTTATAATACACAAACATTTCAGAGAAGTATCATTGCCTATTTCAAAAGTGTGACATTAATTACAAAACCAATTTTAAATATTGGAAAAATAATTGTATTAAAAAAATAAATTCCAATGGCAGAATAGATTATTATAATCAAACGGATCCTTTTTCTGCCATTTTGAAAGAAAAGCTGTGTTCACTGGACGTTTTATAATTACACTGTTTCTGTAAATCAAAAACTATATTGTGATTTTGCTTGAAGATTCCAAAATGAGTTCAATTTTCAACTGTAAATGTACAATATTTGATATACTTTCCCCCTTTGAGTTGGAGATTTCACTGTAAAACTTTATCCATAAAAATTTAGTACAAATATTATTGTAATCAAATATTATACAGAGTTTGAGAGTGATGTTCACAAAATGGTAAAACAGAAGATCTCCTGGTATCACTCCTTTCAAAAGAGTACCACAGGAAACTATTCAAACCAAAAATCAAGGAAGTAGTGGAGAAATCCCTGGGTCCCTGGGGAGTTTAGACTTTATCTTACACCCAATGGGAAGCTATTTACAGGTTTTAAGCAAATGATTATGTCTGTGTTTTAAAGGTATTATAGTCTAGAGGCTTCATGGAATTACATAATTTATAATTTATAAATTTATCATATATAACTGATTAAAAGCAAGCTTAGAAGCATGAACTCAAGTTAGAAAAGATGGGTTTGACATAAAAGCTTAAATGTAGGCCGGGCGCGGTAGCTCAAGCCTGTAATCCCAGCACTTTGGGAGGCTGAGACGGGCGGATCACGAGGTCAGGAGATCGAGACCATCCTGGCTAATACGGTGAAACCCCGTCTCTACTAAAAATACAAAAAACTAGCCGGGCGAGGTGGCGGCGCCTGTAGTCCCAGCTACTCGGGAGGCTGAGGCAGGAGAATGGCGTAAACCCGGGAGGCGGAGCTTGCAGTGAGCTGAGATCCGGCCACTGCACTCCAGCCTGGGTGACAGAGCGAGACTCCGTCTCAAAAAAAAAAAAAAAAAAAAGCTTAAATGTGTTTCATTTGTTTGCTTGTCTGTTTCTAACACAAGTTTAACCTACATGTGAGTCACCTTTGGATTGGTGAGTCTAGAGTTTGATGCAGACAATCTGGGCACAGACATTTAGAGAAGGTCAGTCCACAAATGATGCTTAATGATCCCTGGGTGATGATCACTTTCTCTCCAAGGAGAAACTGCATGGAAAGAAAGGTCCACATATACTCTGCAAAACTTAAAAATGGTCACATAAGAGGAGCAAAACTAAGACTCAGATTTTCTCTATCTTGAAAGGGACAGAAATAGCCATATGCATAGGAATAAATCATGTTTCTTATAATTATTTCAGGAGTTCAAGGATAGAAATGATTTGCCAGGTAACCATTTAGTGTTTGCTGCATTTATAATGTGTGAATTTGACAGAGAAGCCTGAGATGTAGGGGGAAACCTGGAGAGTGAGAAGAAGGGTCTCAAGAAGTATTGGTTGACTTGGTCAATGCTGAAAGATCAAGAAAGTGAGAACTCCAATTGGTCATTTGGATTTGGCTACGTAGTCACTAGTGACTTCTGTAAAGAGCAGTTTCAGTGGAGTGTGGGGACAGGAGACCTACTGAAAATGCATCAGAGAGTGAAGAGGAGGTAGGGGAAGGGAAATAGCCTGTGTGGGAACAAACAAAACCAACAAAAATGTTTTCAACAACCCTCCTCGTTTGATCCTTCACGCTTGCGAACGTCCTACATCAGATCACTGCGCTCATACAAAATGTAAATCAAAGGCAATTATGAATGACTCAAAGCCAGAAGTTCTAGCAAACACATTATTTAGGTGGCAGGATCGTGATGTAAAATGATCCCCACAGGTTGGAAAGATACAAATATAGGTTAGCTTTTTTTTTTCATGTCAGTTTTCCAAATTCACCAATGACACTCCCTGCTATTATTTTTGATATTTCAAGGATTCTACATAAAAATATTCAAAAATCTACCTTCATAATTCTTGGTCTTCTGAACTCTGATAATTTATCTTTATTCCAGTTAACATACTTTCATAGCATCAACAATAGTAATAATGGTTGCCAGCTCTAGATTTCTACCATTTACCAACAATAATCCAATTAGTTTATTAATTTAATCCTCATGGCATGAATTGAGGTTTAGATCATTTGTGCAGATAAGGAAGTTGGCATTCACAAAATTAATTAAATTGCTTAAGCAATTTATTTGTTTTTACATCAAATTAAATTATTTAATTGTTTTTACCTAGAATGTTTCACCTCTAAAACCCACAAATTCTTAAATTTGGATCAATTCTCAATACTGCTTCTTCATATGCCAGGCTGCTGTGTACAACAGAGAAAATCACACAGCTGGCTAGATGAATATCTAATTTATCCTATGTATTTATACTACAAAGCACTATCAGAAATTTCATCTGGGTTCTTTCTTTTTTTTTTGGTCACTTTCTCATTTCTGCTCTGCCATGACTCAAACACTTCTCTGTTCAAACATCTTACCCAATATCCATTATAATCTTCATTGTCAACAACTTCATATCCTATTTTACAGAGATATTTGAGACCAGCAGATTTAAACTTGCTTTAATATCTATCTTTATCTTTATAAACAAATGTATTATTTTCCTACGTTCATTTTTCTCTCCTTTGTTCCAGGCTGAAAGAGAAAATTGCCCCATTCAGAGTTTAAGGTTATTCTTTCTGTGATTTCCATCTGAAATATACTTCTTTAGATCCATTCTTCATTGAGAACTACAATTTGTGCTTCAAAGCCCTGCTTACATTTTCCTTTTGTGAAATATTCTCTGACACAGGAATTTTCGGCACGTTCCCCAAACACATTTTTCTATAATGCTAAGGCTGTACCTACACGCACATTCATCATACTTATCACTGCATGGTTCATGAGGTGGGAGGCAAACATGGTTGCATATTAGGAAAAAAAAGTTTCCCAACCCCTTTTGCCACATACTGTGATTCCATAGGATTGAGACAGGACTTAGAAATTGATGATTCATAAATAATGCTGTGTGATGATAATGATCACCCTGGGTTGGAAACCACTGAATAGTGGAAGGAACATAGGTCTCAGGTCTGAGGGAAACAGCTTTAATTTCAGCTCTGAAACTTAATAGAAGAATGGTTTTCCACAAACTTCTCAAATATCTGACTCCCAGCAATAAATCTTGTCCTGTTTTCGAACTATGTTGGGATTTCTACCACGTCTGTCTTCTCATTTCTATCAGTAGCCCCAGTCATCATCATCTCTCTCACCCGGCCTATTGCAACCCCCTGGCTGATCTGATTCACACTTGCTTGCTCTATTATATTTTCTCCATCTAGAACTGAGAGACTCCTTTATGGAAGAGTTATATAATGCCACTTCTCTCCTTAAAAATCTTCCAGGAACTTCCTTTGACATGCAGAGTATAATCCAAATTCTTCACAATAGCCTATATGACAGTATAACTTGCTGTTACAAATTTCCCTTATCCTATTCCTATTATTCCTTTGAATTCTCCTACTTCCTTTTCAATTGTTTATTTCAACGCAGCCATGCTGGACTCCTTAATGTTCCTTGCTACACTAGACAAGCTCAGGCCTGAGAGTCCTTGGATTTAATACTGTTTCTGTGTAGACTGTTTCCCTGCAGATATTCATACAACTCTCTTCTTCCCTTTATTCAGATTTCTTATCAAAATCATCTCCCCTAAGAAGTCTTCCTGGCAAAAGAGTATGCACACGTTATACTCACTCTTACTCATCACCACAAATCACTTACTAATTTTTTTAAAAATTTGTTTTTGTCAATTTCCCTGACAAGACAGGAACACATGATGTGAATTGAAGAGGCCTGGGAATTCTGGACAAGGGGTGCATGAATGGTTCTCGTTGCTGGATGAGGAAACACTGGGGAAAGATAGCAAGTGATTATATTCCATCCTGACCAACAGGGTCACTCGCGGTGGTGCTGAGACCTTAGCAGCCAAAAGCCCAGAAATAGGATCTGATTTCTTAGTGCCTGTGGAAGGCATCAAACCAGGAAAAGTGATGCAACCTTCTCAGTAAGGAGACTGCAATATTTGTACTTCCCTGATTTTATTTGCAAAATGTTCAATCACAGTTTTCCTTCTGTGAGAAAAACTCTTCCTGGGACTAATACAAACAAAACTTTTTTCTTTTGTGCTTTCTTTTCTTTTTTTTTTTTTTTTTAGATGGAGTCTCACTCTTTTGCCCATGGTTCTTGGCTCACTGTAACCTCCACCTCCGGGGTTCAAGCAATTCTCGTGCCTCAGCCTCCCGCATAGCTGGGATTACAAGTGCCTGCCACCACGCCTGGCTAATTTAAAACTTTTTTCTATATTTAATTTTTTTTCTGTATAGTCTGGTTTCTATATTAACAAGCACTGTAATTAGATGGGGCAAAATTTGTTTAGTGTAATCTGGCCATAGTTAACTGGTGGTAATATGGTGAAAAGCTGTATCATATTTTTCCATTCCATTTCTAGTCTCTAAAACCATTTCTTTCTCACACAGTGTGTATTCAAGACAGAAGTTAAGTGTTTTTGAGTCTGGTTCTAGTAAGCCTAAAATAACATACCAATTATTTTGATTAAAGAAAAAGACCATGGGTCATTTTCCTCATTAGATTATGTCAGTTATGGTATTGCTGAACATCTATTATATTTTCTCCCAAATAAAAATGGACTCTCTCTCATTTTATCTTAGTGTTGAATAGAAAAAGTGTGGTCTAGAAGCTGTTATTAGTTTTCCTTTGTAAAATGTCTCTCAGTTAATTAGAATTGTATCCGTTTATAAATATTTCATTGCAAATTTATTAAATAAGCTTTAAGTCTTGTCACAGAGGTGAATGGTGATTGTCTAATTTAAGCCTGAATTTTTGTCTGTAACACTGCCTTTGGTGACACAATTTTGTACGAGCTTAATGAAAGTGAGTTTAGCTTATTCTTCTGTCCTTTTGTTGCATTGCCATGACAATGTTTCATACAGAACTATATTGTCTGTTACTTCACCCTTTACCACTTTATTATCTGTTCTACCTTTAAATGACTTCTCTATTAATTTACACAGTAATCCATTGTGTGTTGGTGTATGCCACCAAAAAACAAAAGCATCTAAAAATATGATTACTGCATATTCATTGGTCATTCATTTACTTTCCATGTGGAATATTTAGGTGAGGTTCATAAGAACTGGAAGACTTATCAGCTGTTTCAAAAAAAGTATATAAGTCTGCCAAGAGACATTACCTCATAGAAATAAACCGTGAATGTTTGATGTCCCCTCCAGTTTACTCCTGTACTTTAGTATACATCATAATGCACGTTTTTCAAGTTTTTTTAATTAAAGTGACTGAGCATTTTTCTGTCATTTCAAAATACCATATTCAGCATAGTGATTATAGGGAAATCATTTGGAGAAGGCAAATGACTCTGAATTCTTTCTAGTCCTGGCTAAAACGGACTTTAATAAGACCTTATTAAAGTCAGTTTAACTCAAAGGGTCTCAGTAAATTATTCTTTTCTTTTTCTTTCTTTCTCCAGGGTCAAACTGGAGTGCATGGCACAATCCTGGCTCACTGCAACCTCTGCCTCCTGGGCTCAAGGCATCCTTCCACCTCAGCCTCCCAAGTAATTGAGACTACAGGTATAAGCCACCATGCCTGGCTATTTTTTGTCTTTTTAGTAGAAAAAGGGTTTTTCCATATTGCTCACGGCATTCTCAAACTCCTGAGCTCAAGCAATCCACCCACCTTGGCTTCCCAAAGTGCTGGGATTACAGGTGTGAGCCGCCACACCTGGCCAGTATTCATTTTTTATGGGGGAGTGAGGGGTCAGTTTTCTGACCCATGAAAGCAGATATTGAGAGTTTGAACATTTTTAATTTAAAATAAAGTTTTATATAAGATCACTTTTTGTTAATAACTTAATTGTTCCTTGGATGCTGTAGATTAAAATTTTAAAGACCATCAAGATACAACTTTATATACACCATGTGCCTTATTAGGTGATTTGGTCAACGACAGCCTACCTATACAACAATGATCCCATAAGATTGTAATACTACATGTTTTCTGTACCTTGTCTATGTTTAGTTACATAAGTATTTATCACTGTGTTACAATTGCCTGTAGGATTCAGTAGAGTTCATGCTGTATAGGCTTGTAGACTAGAAGCAATCAGCGATACCACATAGCCTAGGTGTGTAGTAGTCTATACCATCTAGGTTTGTGTAAGTACATTCTATGATGTTTCCACATGGACAAAATCACCTAACAATGTATTTTTCAGAATATATCTCCATCATGGAGAGACATGACTGTCCTGCCTTTTGTTTGTACCACTGTGTTCTTATTCAAAGAAAAATATACACATTACACACAATTTTAAACTCTTCTTCACACTCACGTTAGCAATTAAGAATGCAGGAATGTACAGTACATGCACTAACTGTGCCTTGACAATTTGCTGACCCGATACATGACTTAATATCTTAATATATTTGATCTCACTTGAGGAAATAGAGTTTGGAAAAGAAAATGTGCACTTAATGTAAATAAAATTATATTAAATGTTTCTTCCTAGTTTAAAATAATTTTTCAATAAACCAGGATCCCTTAAAATTTTCTCGTTAAACATTGAGCTATTTTTCTTTTATTAGAAATTACCTATAAAAATAGTGGCTGTCTCTCTTGATTAAAAATGGATTGGTATAATGATATACTATTAGATCTATACCCTTTCTATTCTGTTTTTTTTTCTTCTAATTTATAGAATAATCATAACTATGATATCAGGAACAAAAATGTCCTCAAGAACAGGTGCCTAATTGGGAGAAAACTTGACACTTCCCATTTCCATTTTAGGAGTTAAAAAAATCTATACATTCAGTTATTTTTATAGTTAAAAAGTTTAATTTTGTTTAAAATACCACAAAGTATAAAACATGATCTGAATATTGTTAAAATGTCATGCAAATTAGAACCATGCTTATTCAATTTGAATCAAGGTATATTTAAGTCATTTTTTCATAAAATTATTGGGATTATTAATATTTAGTAACCTAAATCATTTTTATAAAGTGATAATAAAACAGATTGTCCTAAGAGATTGATTTTGTTATGACTGCATCTAAAGAAACTAAAATGCATTGTGGCAGGAAGGACTGGTATCATTTATAGTGACATTCAAGTAATCTGGGGGTGACAGATGCTTGACTCTGCTAAATTTATGCTAGGATTAGCACCATTTACCTGCTTTTAGTGTGTTAAATACTCAATGAAATATGTGTTTATGAAAGTAATTCTGTGTTTTTCAAAGTTCATGATACTTTTAATAAAACTGTTAAATTAACAGCTTTATGGGGTTATAACTGATATACAAAGAACTACACATATTCAATATGTAAAATGTGATGAGTTTGAACATACACAAACACCCATCATATCATCACCACAATCAAGGTAATCAACATATCCAGCACATTTTAATAGTACGATAAAGACTACTCCGCCTTTTAAGAGTCCTGGTAGTCTCAGTGAAACAAAATCTCTTGATTTTCAACATTCCTCTAATGTATCAGTTCTTTCCAACTGGGATTTACCAAGCAATGTCATTTTGTGTTGAATTACCATGAGTTTTTAAAAGATGCTAAATGAAGTAAAGTATGTTAGAATTTGATTGCCAATCAAGACTTTGATATGTGATCTGAATTTTTAGACCAGTGGTTCTAAAGTTGGTGAGGGAGAGGGGCAGTTGTACTGTGTGGGAGACGCTTGGCAATGTCTGGCAATATTTTAGTTGTCACAATTGCAGGCTGGTGCCAGAGTCTAGTATATAAAGGCCAGGGATGCTGCTACATGCCCTACAAGGCACAGGGCAGTCTTGTAGTATCTGGCTCACAATGTCAACAGTGCTGAGGTACAGAAACACTGATTTAGATTAATCATTGTACTCAAAAGTGAAGAGTGAGCAAAATGTGTTGTTTGCCTTGCGAATTTGGGAGGAAAAAAAAACAAAGCTCCATCCAACCATTCTACATTTCTGACATCTGTGTTACATATGATTGGAGATTCTCTTTCTTCTAAATACCCATTGTGTGCTTCAATGACTGCTGGGATAAGAGCCACTTGTTCCTACAGTAATTGTCACAGGATAGCTGCCAGATGGTAATACTGAGAAGGACAACATGAAAAAAATTCTATGTTTTTTTTTTTTTTTTTCTTGTTTCATTCTATCTTCATAGGCTATATAAGTTGGTCTAATGTCTGAAATTTGTTCTACCTTACTTTAACCAGAAGACATAATTCCTTCATGCAAATGGCACCTAAATGGTGAGCAGACATGTCATGTGAAATTCCTTTAATATATCTGCTCATTATTTGTCCCTATGGACCATTTAAAATTATTCAAAGAGGAAAGATCTTTTTTTTCTTTTTTTCTTTTTTTTTTTTTTTTGCCACTAAAAGAAAATCTGGGTAGGCCTATGACTCTTCTGTTCACTCTTGGAGAGTGCCGTGGTAACTGCTCAGAGACTGCCGTGTCATAAATACTATTAGAATGCCCTGACTTTATAATATGTATAGCTATGCATTTGATTTAAATCTTCACTGTGACGTGTAAGACTGGCTTCAGGCAGGCTGTTGCCTGTGAATAGGCATGACCAGCTTGTTCTCTCTTTTCCTTTTGACTTTTTGCAAAGCCTCTCAAATTGAAATACAGAAAGGGGCATAGTCAGAGGGTAGACTTTTACATAGAGGTGCTGCTCTAGAATGAATCTGCGTTCACTACTTCTGGCAGGATTTTAGCATGGACTTTTACTAGTTACCAGCTTATTTTAAGGTTTCGTGGTGTCACTGAGGCGCCTCTGCTTTGACTCTCTGCTATGACGTGGGCTACAGTCACCCTTCCCCTGAGTACTACTCCCCGTATGCCTCTGATTTTTCAGGGGTCCCATTCATGGAAAACTCTTTGAGTCTCACTGTATACACACATGATACTCTTGAGCAGGACTCACACTGACTACAGGCTGACACTTCCCTGAATGACAAATTATCTGATCTATAAGAAACATTTACCTATCATTTATCTTGACAGATTCTAGCAGTGAATTTCCTACCAAAGAATTTTGGCAGAATTTCTGTCTTCTTGATGGCTTACCTTCGAACTCCATGAATCACAGATCAAGGTGACCTTTGTGAGTCACCTTTCTCTAGGCTTAAGCAGGTAGCATCTTTCTGGTCATCCACATTTGGAGAGAATGTCGGAACTCAGCACACACCTCAACAACACTCTCAGTCTCCGTTCTCTCAAACTGATATGCCCAGCTACGTTGAAAACCTGAACCTTTGTAGGCTCAGAACTTACTTGGATAACTGACATTCATTGTCAACTGGGGCCTGAGTCTAAATATCTAAGATACCATTTGTAATTACTAGAAGAATCCACATCACAATTTGCTCATAAATCAAAATTTCATAATATTTGGAAAGATGATAGAATGAAATCATATTGATACCATTGTTCTCATGCCTCGTTCTAATGATTAAAAACTGTGAACAACATATGTGCATAAAATACTCTGGAAATTACAAATGCATATATATATCTATATACATATATGTTTATACACATATTACATGTATATGTATATGTACACATATTACATGCATATGTGTATATTACACATATACATATGTATATGTATATATTACACATATACATATGTATACGTATATATAACATATGTATATGTATATATTACACATATACATATGTGTATATATAACACATATACATATGTATATGTATATATATGAATGTGTGCACAAAATATATATGTGGATAAAAGATATATGTATATATGTGTATACATATGTGTGTGTGCATATATATATATTGTTTTTCTTTGTTAAATCTTTTACAATAGTGCAATTTTCAATTTTGGTGTGAAGTCTTAAGTAACTGATGTTAAGACAGAAATCTAAGAAAGTTATTTTAAACAGTAATATTTTGGCAATGCAAAGCTATCTAGTAATATTGCTCAGACAATACAAAGCTAGTTCTATTCATATTTGTCCTGCTGATCTGGAAGATAAAACTGATCTCTCCCTGCAAGGGCTGCACTAACTGGAATGAGACATTGTGTTTGTTGGACCTATGATCTTCTTTACAGAGAAAAGCAATTCATAAAGTTAGAAAAGGGCACCATGTAAAATCCAATGCACACTTTGTAGAAATAGCATGAGGATTGCTGAGAGGGCTGAGAAAGACTAATAGCAACAACCAAAACAAAAACAACAAGAAAAAAATCCCTATTCTCCATTGTTTATTCTTGAGAATATGACATAGAAAAAATATGCCTAAGAAAATGTATCGTAAGGGAGAATGTTATTTGTGTATTTTTTCCAAAGGGACATGTTCTTAATTTTTTTTTGCACTGTATTTATGTATTGTTAATATCTTTTTATAACTTGAATATATTTTAATTCTACAGCTCTGGATCAAGGCATGCAAATATGCTATTTTGATCTTGTATTTTAGTTTTGTCTTTTTCTTAATTCCATGTAGCACACATGATTATTATGAGAAAATGTTTTAGATTTACCTGTATGTTAAACAATTTTATTTTTGTTAACTCTTCTTCCATCTCAGCTTCTTTATAAGATTATTTTCCTTTTTCCTGAAGTATGCCTTTGTAGGTTCCTTCACTGAAATTGTTTTGCCATGTTGATGGATCAGTTTTTATTTTTCTGAAAGTGCATTTATTTCTCCTTTAGTCTTGAATACTTGCTTTGCTGGATGAAAAAACTTACTTGATCCTAATTCGCAGGCATAAGGGGCTTAATTTAGAGAGATTTTCTTGTGGAGGAAATGTGTCTCCTGCTTCACCCGAGGACCATGAATTCCTAACAACGCAGTACCACTTTGTCTTCCTTTGAGAGGCCTGGTTAGTGTGAGAACCTCAGAGTCGGCTCTCCACCAAGGATATAAACAACGTTATTAGTGGCGTCTTCCATTTCAGGAAGATAATTACAATCGTTTTTACAAGGAGTAGTTCACAAAGGAGTATATTTAAATTTTATTTGATCTGGGATAGAAGGGTATACCTAAAGGTGTTCATGGTATATTGTGAAAAATTTTCTAAATTGTAATTTAAAAATAATAATGTTAACATACTAAAATTAAATCTAATAATCGTAGTAAAGTTTTTAAAGGTTGTCAAAACCTTTTTCCCCTGCCTTCTTTGTACAAGGCTCAGGTGGTAGACCTGTTAAGTAGTGAAATAAGATATTCAAGTGTAATGCCTAAAGCACAGTGAATTAATGACTATTTTAACAGATAATACTCTTTAGATTGTTGTTTGATCATACATGGGATAACTAGGTTCATGTTAATAATGCACAATGGTCTTCAGTGGGGGAAGCAAGGGTGACATTGAGATTTAACACAGAAATTACAGATTTAATAATTAACATCACTTTACTACTCAAAAATTAATTTTCAGATCACAAATTTTATATCTATTTTGTTCCAATTTTAATTACTGCCTCCAGATTTCTTATGTAAATAAATACTTATAGATGGTTAGATAATGTACCTCTCATTATTATTGTTTGTCTTAAAATGGAATCAGTTTACAGCTAGAATGACATCATTACCACACTGGATCTTAGAGATGAATCCGCCAGATCTCAGTAGTTGTTCAGAGCTCCAGGGTCTGTCAGTCAGGATGCAGGGTCTAAACAGCCCTCTACCATGTGGATGTAGCAAATTCTGTAACCACTTCTTGCTCAGATTACATGATACTTAAGACTCATCAAGCCAAACTTGAGAGGAAGTGGCTCTTCTGGCAAGATTTCTAGTGATCCCAGAATCTTTGTGAAGAGAAACTCATATTTGTTTACAAAGCTATTTTAATATGTATAAAACACTAAGATTTAATTTTATATTAATATTTGTAAGTATATTTTTGTTCTGGCAAAACATAATTCCAGAAAGTAAATCTTATAAATAATACATAACAATAGTCATATAAACTTTTATTTATTTATTTATTTATTTGAGACGGAGTCTCGCTCTGTCGCCCAGGCTGGAGTGCAGTGGCCGGATCTCAGTTCACTGCAAGTTCTGATTCCTGGGTTCACGCCATTCTCCTGCCTCAGCCTCCCTAGTAGCTGGGACTACAGGCGCCCGCCACCTCGCCCGGCTAATTTTTTGTATTTTTAGTAGAGACGGGGTTTCACCAGGTTAGCCAGGATGGTCTCGATCTCCTGACCTAGTGGTCTACCCCCCTTGGCCTCCCAAAGTGTTGGGATTACAGACGTGAGCCACCGTGCCCGGCCTAAACATTTTTTTAAAAATTTAATTCTACTCTTTATGGCTGTTGGTCAGAATTGTTAAAATATAAATGTAATAAAAGCCCTAGTACCATCTTATATCTTGTAAAGAAAAAATACTTTTGGCCGGGCGCGGTGGCTCAAGCCTGTAATCCCAGCACTTTGGGAGGCCGAGAGGGGCAGATCACGAGGTCAGGAGATCGAGACCATCCTGGCTAACACGGTGAAACCCCGTCTCTACTAAAAACACAAAAAATGAGCCGGGCATGGTGGCGGGCGCCTGTAATCCCAGCTACTCGGGAGGCTGAGGCAGGAGAATGGCGTGAACCCGGGAGGCGGAGCTTGCAGTGAGCTGAGATCCGGCCACTGCACTCTAGCCTGGGCGACAGAGCGAGACTCCGTCACAAAAAAAAAAAAAAAAAAAAAAAAAATACTTTTAGCTTTTATAGTGAAGCCCACCAAAATGATTCAGTTTGCCAGTATTTTTCAAAAACAATGTTAACCTATATGGCCCATAAAAAAGTAAACTAACAAAATTTCTTTCTTAAAATCTTGGTAACTTCATGGATACATAGTAAGGTAGGTAGGCAAATTATTTGAAACTTTCCAAAATAGTTTTTTATTTTGCTTTGAGAGATGTGCAAGTTCACCAACATAGAGAAATTCTTCAGTTTTCAATCGTTTTAGTGCTTTGTAATAGTACATGGGCATAAATCAGAGCATTTGTATAATAATAGCCTACAGTAAAGAATAGATGTTTCAGCCAGGCGTGGTGGCTCACACCTGTAATCCCAGCACTTTGGAGGCTGAGGTGGGCAGATCACCTGAGGCAAGGAGTTCAAGATTGGCCTGACCAACATGTTGAAACTCTGTCTCTACTAAAAATACAAAAATTACCCAGGCGTGATGGTGTGTGCCTGTACTCTCAGCTACTTGGGAGGCTGAGGCAGGAGAATTGCTTGAACTCAGGTGGCGGAGGTTGCAGTGAACCGAGATCGCGCCATTGCACTCCAGCCTGGGCAAAAGAGTGAGACTCTGTCTCAAAAAAAAAAAAAAAAAAAAAAAAAAAAAAAAAATGTTGCAAAGTGTTTTAAAGAATTATTTACAATGCATAATCTGGCTTCTTACATTAATTTTCTTATTTTTAAATCTAGCCCTTTGAAATTCATCAACTGTCATGTATTATTTTCAGATGAAAATAATCAGTGATTATTGAAAATGGAATTTAAAGTTCTGTGAATTAGATGGGAAACAAAAACTTGCCTTCATTTTTTACAGATTCCACCAGACTGTGAAACCTGTAATGTCATAGATTTTCTCTATTTTGTTTGCTGCTGTCTCTCTAGCACCTACAAGAGTGACCCACACAGTGAACACTCCGTTACTGCTTACCGAATAAATAAAAAATCTCACATGTGGCCACTGCTCACTTATTCAGCTCAAAACCATGACTCTTTGTGTCACATTATTTTATCACTTCTCTTATTCTGACACCTAGCTTTTATAATACGCTTTTCCTAGCATTATAGTTAAATTTACACAGATGATTTTATTTTAAAAATGCAAACCATTCTTTGCAAATGCCACTCGAAGCCAATAAAGAATTAATTCCTTTAAGATATATACTTGCACATATTGAGATTTTCAAGTAGAGTCAGACTTTAAAGCCACCAAATGAAAGAGCTCTTATATGTGTCTTATCACAGAGGCTGAGTAGCAGGATTTTATTTTTAAAATTTTTATGTTGTCTCTCTCCCCTGCTCTTCTAAATAGAAGGGGAAAAAACAGTATGTTGGCTATACAGTCTTTATGTTGCATTTTCTCAGAGAAATGTTTAGTAATTATAAATAGAAAGAATAAGAACCCAAAAGCATGACCTGAGTCATCCCTTGCTTGTATTTTTGTGGGAAAGTTGAGTCTCATCCTTTTCAGTTCTGTTGCTAGCCTGGGAGGCTGAAACCACAGTCCCTTCCAAATGATAACCATAATTTTCTCCCTTCTACTTTATTTTCTCATATTTTTCATCTTATAATGAGCAGTTACAAAAACTTTTGGGTCCAAATGTTTTACCAAGTCAGTTAACTTACTTCCTAACCTTTTTGAATAGCCCATTTGAAGTCCGTTAACACTGTGACTCTAAAAAGACTAAATATAAAGTTTTACTACGATAAGTCATCATGTTGAATAAATACACAAATATGACCTTTGGTATGGATGTGCATGTAAGCAGTGGGCTAAATGCCTCCTTGAATTTAAAAGTAAAGAATTCTGTACTACAAGTAGAAATCTACCTGCAAACACACACACAATCTGGCCGTAGCTACAGGTAGCATGCATGTTCCTTTTACATGCGAGTCAGAAAACCGATTTTATTATGCTCTGTGTTAGTCATCAAGGTAGTGAGGGCAAACCTATTGGAATATTGTGCATTCCTTGCAGAGAAAGCAAAACAAGCTGTTGAATTTTCTTTTCTTAGGAGAGAAAACAATGCGGTCATCTAAAATGACAGATTGTCATCACTGGGGCACGGGAGAGGGGTTGAGCAAGTCAATGGATGTTTTCTAGAGCCTAGAGAATATGTGTGATACTCTGAAGTATGTTTTTTCTAAATCCCAGGTGAGTATGCAATGCTAATGAGAGGTAGACATAATTATTATTGTCATAAGCATTATTACTTAACATGCTTTTCCTCTTATATGCTACACATTATGATATATGCTTTAAAATATTGGTTTGATTCTCACAACAAGCCTGTGGGTTTGGTATTGCTGGCAATAGTTAACATATTTGAAAAAGCTGGAAGAGATATAACTCATTTCCATGGAATCAATCAACCATTGATATATAAAAGGAGACTGGTTCTTTTAAACAAAGGGAAAGTGTGACTAAATAAAACTTTAAATGAAAACGAGTGCAAAAATGCTATCGGGATTGGAGATACATTTTTAAAAATTTGCTATGTATTTACAATTAAAAAATATATTAATGAAGTATTTTGAATAGAGTTTCCTGAGTCTAATAAGGTTTGCCAGGGCATGAGTGACTAAAATACAAACAAACAGGCTTCTAAACATATTCTCCTTCACTGTTTCATCAATGCCATACATACTTATTAATGGTTTAGAAAAATACACCCTGCTATGGTTTATTGCCAAATAGCAAAGATATAAATTACATCTCCAACACTGACATGCCACTACATTATTAACAGGGCCACGGAGGCCATTGAAACTACACTGTATGCACATCTACAGTAAAGGGCATATTGAATGGTAAGCTTTAGTATTTTAGTGTATTTAATTTGGCACACTTGGTGCTGTTCTTTGTGAATGTTAATCTTTTCAACCAATACAGCAGCATGTCAGTATCTTCATTTGCAGGGTATAATAGGCTTATATCCTGAAACAATAAACTTATAATAGCTTGTCTGTTGCTTGGTGGAGATATGCACATTCAGCATGAAAAAGGTGTTGCATGCCCTATTTTTGCTCAAGGTTCTTTATACATGCCCTTCCTTTCCTGTCAGGAACACAAGCCATATTTATAAGTTTTTGCTATAATACCAACTGCGTAGTTTGGAAATTTTCCAGTGTAGTACAATTCACTTTCTTTTTCCATTATTGATAAAATTATAACTAGGTACATCTATATTTGAAATGTGAAGTGAGCATTAGACTGATTTTTAATGTCACATTGAGACTGATTTCTTTTTTTAGGACAGAAGATTTGGAAAAGGTGCATGCTTGTAGTATAAAACAGAAATTAATGTACATAAAGGATCTTAATACAGATTACTTCTTTTTACCAATGGTAATATTCAACTTGGTATTCATCAGTGGGTAGGTTTGAATCCATTCTATTTAACTACTTTCTTTTCTGACTAATTTCATTTCTGCAATACAGTAGATATATTATTAGGAACCAAAAAATGAAACAAAACACGTATAGGTCATTTAATAAAATATTTCTCTTCCAAATATTCTAAAATGGTATTAACACATATTCTAGTTAGAACTCTTACTTCCTGTTATTATCTGTTATATTAAAACAATTGAGGTATAAATTTCTAGATAAAAGGGCGTTACTGTAAAATCCCTTTCAAAAGATTGCAGCCTCAGTTGTATACTTTTATTGAATGACCCCAGTGATTGTGCTGCTTCATTGCATTTTACTTCTAACATTTCTGTCCTATGCGCAAGATTGAAAAAGATTAAATTTGATTTGTGGCAGTCACTACTTGTTATCTTCAAATAAGTATTTGCAGATTAAACAAAGCATGATTCTAGAAGTAAGCATTATTGAACCTACTTTAGAAAGACTTTTGTAAAATTAACCCATTTTTTAACCATCAAACCTATGTTGTAGGAAATAGAATGCCTGTCCCATGTATTTCCAAATGAAGCGTGACTTTAGAATGTGCTCCTCTTTATGCAGGTCCAACTCATCACTTTAAAGTTTTCAAATCAAGTGCATTGGCACCACATACTTAACTGAATTTCTCGAAGATTTTATGGTTATTATCTAAAATACTGTACTAGCCTATCTATTATTCTTTAAATTATTTTCTCAGATTGTATTTCAGTTTTAGTGATTAAGTTTCTGTTTTGCAAATTAATACAATCTTGGGGATTGCATATATTTTAAACACACATACAGATAACACACACACATTACCCCTATACTATTAAATCTAGAACTTACTGACCAGTGTAAGTTTTTCCTCTACCTTTGGGAACCTTGAGCATAATAGCTTTGTTCATTAGATTGTACTATTAACTACAGATAATTAAATGTTGCTTTAGAAATTGCTGTAATAAAGTGATTTAGGCTTACCAATTTAAGTCATACAAGCCTTATTAAAATAGTAGTAAAAGTCCATTTATCTCTTAAACAACTTTAAGGACTTTTCAGAAAGACAATAATGTATTTAGTACACTCCCCTATAAAGGAGTTTCTGATTTTTTTTCTCAGCAGTCTAAAATCAGCATAGAGCATTCTGTATATTAATTTCAAGATAGATTTATGTTTCATATTAAATAGAAGATGACATATTTCAACTATTTTGTAGTGGAGAATAAGGCATGGAAATTTATCAGCCTGGGTATTCTATTGCGATCCTTTTTCTAAGTTGAAATGCTTCCAATGACTTGCCCAAAAGAACAATTTTTACATGAATGATTCCATATATATGTATGCATGAATATGTGTGTACATATATATGTAATTTCTTTGGTAATTTTTTGGATTTTTAAAAATTTTATTTTTTACTTTTGTAGAAATGAGGTCTTGCTATGTTGTCCAGACTGACCTCAAATTCCTGGTCTCAAGCAGTCCTCCTACCTTGGCCTCCTAAAGTGCTGGGATTACAGGTGTGAGCCACTGCACCCAGGTAACCTTTGGTGCTTTTGCACACTCCTCAGCTTTCCAAGAGGGATTCATGATGGGCATGACACCTCCAAAAAAGAGAGTGACTTGGGACAAAGACGGTAAACAACATTTGCTTGTGTTAAGGAGTTCTGCCTCTCTGAGGTGCAAGCGTTTTTATAAAACATAGGAATAATTTTACTTTCTAGGATTGATGTGTTAGATTTAAAATCTATGAAATGCCATTCACTATTCATGTCACATGGTAGATGCCCAATGAATGATAGCTTTCACTAATATTACTAATAAGAAAGTAGTTGTTAAATACACAGATTTTATAGCCAAATTATTTCTCTATTACTTCTTAGTTATTTATCCTTTCCAAGTCAATTAACTTCTCAGAGCTGCAGGGTCCTCTTCTATAAAATAGAGATAAAACTTGCCTCTCAGTAATTAATAAATACAGCATAAAGTGCACAATAAAACTATGAAAAATGTTACTCCTATTTTCTTGTCTCATAGAGGATGCAGTCTTTAGTTATTGAAGGTTAACCAAGTAATTAGTAGTGTTTTATGCAGAACCAGGTTGGAGGGGAGTCTGGAAAGACAACTAAGAAACAGGTAAACATTATAAAAGTTACCAGAAATATTACAAATGTTATTACTACATGCTACTAATAATGCATTTTAGAACTGAAGGAGCTGCACAACTTAGCCAAAATGTAACAAGAGGAGGGAATATGGAAAGAACTGGATTCTGAGAGTGCTTAGTCAAGATGGGTGGAGATTATGTCAGAAGTCAAGAAAGTTACTGGTATGGAAGCACCCACCTGTTAGATAGGAGTTCCATCCTACCATGCATCTGGGATGGCTCTTAAAGCTGAGAGAGAGACAACTATGAGTGAAGGAGCAATGTTATTGTATGGCAGGGGGTTGAATAAGGGATCTAGACTGTGGGCTGCAGTGGATGCTATGGATATGTTGCCAAAACCCCCCCTAAGACTGAAGCACTCATTCCCCAACTGCTGGGAGTGTTGCTGGCTGATTATGTAAGCGAGGTCCGCCACCTTGGAAGTGAAATCATCCTCTGAAGAATAGAGGGGCCTCATCAAGGTGAGGTAGAGGAAAGCAGCCTCTACCCAATGTCTGCTTGATGTGGATGGCATAAAGATTTCTGCTCTTGTCTTCAAGGTGGGTGAGTTCTGAATGGACACTGGGGTCTGGCACTCCCTGTGGAGTCTGCCGAGGTCCTGGTTGTGACCGCATTGCAGTTCAACACCTTCTACCATTTCTACTTTATTCTACCCCCAGCAGACTTCTTTTTTCCTTTTTGTAAGGTATACATAACATAAAGTTTACATTGTAACAATTTTTACATGTACATTTCAGTGGCATTAAGTACACTTATACTACTATTTTTCAACCATCACCACAATCCATCTCCAGGTCTTTTTCATTATCCCAAATTGAAATTTGTAACCTTTAAACAATACCTACCCATTCTCCCTACTCTCAGCTCTGGCAACCACCATTTAACTTTGTGTCTTTATATATATAACCCCAAGCCAGTTTCCATCTTTTAATATTCATATTTAATATTTAATGATCAACTAAAAGAAATCAAAATCAAATTATTGTATCAAATATATTTCAAAATAAAAAATTTTACCTGGGAATACAAAAATATATATTTTTATGAAGAACCCACAGTTAAGAGGTCATAGCATAACAAACATCCAAGAATCTCATTATCTCCCTCCTGTTTTTTTCTTAAACTTTTCTATTGATGCTCACTTGATGTCTCACAATTTTAAGCCAAATAATCTTTTTGCATCTTTCTTTTGCTGTCTCTTCATTATTTTGTTGGTAACACTCATAATTCATTTTTCAAAATACTTTCTGATTCTTGCATTCATTTACAGTTACAATTATTTTGCACTCTCATTGATCTGTTTCTTGTCTCCTGTTACAGATTCCCAGGAACCAGTCCTGCTACTTTTATCTGACTGATTTCCTGCTTTTCATGACCAGGTATGAAGCACACTCTCTTCCAGTTGTACAGTTGGAAAGACCGAACTCAAAGTCTGAACCACCACGTTCGGAAATACTAACTGTGCAAACTCGAATCAGCTTTTTCCTTCCAACTTTTATTTTAGGTTCAAGGGGCATATGTGCCGGTTTGTTACATGGGCAAATTGCAAGTCACAGGGGTTTGGTATACAGATAATTTTGTCACTCATGAAATCAGCATA